GCAACTTTTCTGTGATTTTGAGAGTCTTTTAGAATATAAAGTTAAGAAAGTCAGAATAAAAGCTATTGTGGATTGTTGAGCTCAGCTCTACCGACTGTATCTCAACAAGATAGAATGCAGCCCTCTTCGCAGAAAAGCCTGTCACGTGTTTGATGACAGGTAAGCTCACCTGTGTCCCTTGGCCCTTCCTTTCCCAGGCCCCGCCTTCCCTGGTGCAGGCTCCTTTCTCTGCTCTCAGTGCTATGCCCTCCTGTGTTTACTGGCTCTGTCTCTCATCAATTCTTTCCCTTGTCATTTTATTATGAAAATGTTTACACACGCAGTAAAATTTACAGACGTGTACAGTGAACACCCACAATGAAATGCGTATTTCTTAAGTGTACAGTTCAATGAATTTATTAATTGGTACATGTGTGTAACCCAAATCCTCTTTCTATATTACAGAACATAGCAGGCCCACAGAACACCCCCTCGGGCCTTTTCCTAGGTAATCCTAATCTGCAACACCTTCCCAAGAGTTGATCATTTTTTCCAGTATGGATTGAGCTTCAGTAAATGTTGAGCCTTTTCTGTGAATGACAATTAAGTCAAAGTGGTTGATAGTGTTCAGATTATACCTTTACTGAGTTGTTGTATTCATCTAATAGTTTTTATCAACTATTGAGGAAGGTTTGTTATAATTTCCATTAAATCCTGTAGATTTTTGCTTCATTTATTTTGAAGTTCTATTATTAGGTATATACACATTGATAATTATTCTGACTTCTTAATAAATTAATCCTTAAACACTACAAAAAGTCTATCTCTGGCAATATTCTTTGTCCTATTAAGATAGCTGGAGAAGTGTGTGTTTTTCTTTAATATATTTTATTGGTTTCAGAGAGGAAGGGGGAGGGAGAGATAGAAACATCAATGATGAGAATCACATACAAGAGAAGCACATACAAGAATCAACCAACAAATACATGGATGACGGGGCAGCAAATCTCTCTCTCGCTCTCACTCTCAAATCAATTAAAAATAAAAATAATTATTTTTTAAAAATCTTCAAGCCCTAGCTGGTGTGGCTCATTTGATTGGGCATCAGCCTATGCACTGAAAGGTTGCTGGTTTGATTCCCAGTCAGGACAGATGCCCGGCTGCAGGCTTGATCCCCAGTATGGGATGTACAGGAGAGACAGCTGATTGATGTTTTACTTTCACATGGATGAAAGTAAAAATCAATTTAAAAATCTAAAAAAAAAACTTCAAAAATTTTGGAGACTTACAACATAAGTACATTCAACGCCATCCCACCATTCTTGTTGCTATTGGGTTAATATGTCCTAGGATTAACATGGATATAGTTTATAAACCTCCCAAATGATGTATAATTTTTTATAGTGTACAATTTCATAAAACTAAGGGGAAATAACAATCCTTTATACTGGCCACATTTTTTTATATTTCCAATGATCTTTCTTCTCTCTTAAGATCCATGTTTCTGCCGAAGCCGGTTTGGCTCAGTGGATAGAGCATTGGCCTGTGGACTGAAAGGTCCCAGGTTCGATTCCGGTAAAGGGCATGTACCTTGGTTGCGGGCACATCCCCAGTAGGAGATGTGCAGGAGGCAGCTGATCGATGTTTCTAACTCTCTATCTCTCTCCCTTCCTCTCTGTAAAAAATCAATAAAATATTTTTTTTAAAAAAATCCATGTTTCTATGGTCTTCATCTTGAAATCTTCATTTAGCATTTTGTATAGTCCAGGTCTACTTGTCACTGGAAAGGGATCAGGCAGGGACCACACATCTTGGAATGTGTGGGTTCTTGACTTTGTGCAGGAAAGAATTCAAGACATGAGTCGGGGTGAATTTGAGAGTATGTTTATTAAAGCTTGGGACAGTAAGACAAAGGAAATGTTTAGCATAGAGGAAGCAAAAGCACAGGAATAGGATTGAACCTAGGTGGAGCTGCTTTGTCTCTTTAGAAACGTCAGACAAGAGGAGGGCACTCAGAGCTTATGAGAAAGTAAAAGCAGGTGCTCAAGGAAAGGGGGGTGCGGGGCTGCTCACAGGAGAGCACACACTGGGGCCTTTGTCCTAAGGATTTTTATCTGTTTTCTACAGGTGGGAATTTTAGGGGAGGTCTCAATCAGAATATTCATCAGTTTTTCAGGTATGTCTTTTAATCCTATATAATAAAAGCCTAAAATGCTAAGTGTCCAGTTGTCCGTTCAACCAATCAAAGCATAATATGCTAATAATATGCTAAGGCCACTCAACTGATCGCTATGACATGCACTGACCACCAGAGGGCAGTCTACCACTTGACCAGCTGCTATGATGTGCACTGACCACCAGGGGGCAGATGCTCTGACCAGTAGGTTAGCTTGCTGCTGGGGTCTGGCAGATCGGGACTGAGCTAGACGGGCCAGACACACCCTGGAGCCATCCATGGCCCCTCCCCGGCTGGCCAACCTCCTGCGTCCCTCCTCCCTGGCTCTGATCATGCACCAGTAGGGTCCCTTGGCCTGGCCTGAGCCCTCTCACAATCCGGGACCCCTCAGGTGATGCCAGAGACCCAGTTTCAGCCAGATCGCCGCAGGCCAGGCCAAAGGAGCCCACTGGTGCACAAATTCATGCACCAGGCCTCTAGTATGTTGATAAGTCAAAATGAGCTTATAGTGGGGTTTGGGATCATTTTCTGGTCAGCTTCACCTCTATCTTGGATTTTTCTGGCTCTAATTGTTTTTCTTTATTATTTATTCCCCTGACTTTGTTCATTCTTTTTTTTTTTTTTAATATATATTTTATTGATTTCAGAGAGGAAGGGAGAAGGAGAGAGAGAAACATCAATGATGAGAGAGAATCATCGATCGGCTGCCTCCTATACGCCCCCTACTGGATATTAAGCCCACAACCTGGGCATGTACCTTTGACTGGAATTGAACCCAGGACTCTTCAGTCTCTAGGCCAACGCTATATCCACTGAGCGAAACCATCTAAGGCGACTTTGTCCATTCTTGGGTTTGCCTGGCACTAATAGCACCAACTGGGTCTCTGTTATCTAACTCCCTGACCAGGGTAATTTAAGCTACTGGCTTTCGGTTTGGACAGATGTAAACTGTCTGCTCCTAAGTGCCTTTGGTTAGGGAGGATGGAGTCTTGTTTATTTCCTAAATGGTAAGCTCTCTTCTCCCCACTTACTCTTTGATTTTGTTTAATGACTGCTAGCTCTCAGGTTAGGAAACCTAGACTTCACATTAAATGCCTTTCCTTCCACTTACCACCAAGCCCATCTAATCATCTGCCAGCAGTGTTACTGTGATCCTCAGAGCCACACTTTCCTCTGTCAGGCTGATGCAATCTAATGCAATCTTACCACTTTCCTATTTCAGAGTGATGCAACCGAATTACACATGCTAAATGCTGCTCAGGCCATGTCTGTCTGAGCTCATACGTATAGTCCACATTCCCTTGGGGAAACAATTATCTTTAAAAGTGTTGGTTTGCCCTGGCCAGTTTGCTAAGTGGTTATAGCATCAGCTCAGGGACCGAAGGATCTTGGGTTCAATTCTTGGTCAAGGGCACATACCTCAGTTACAGGCTTATCCCATGCCCTGGTCACAATGCATGCAGGAGTCAACCAATCTCTCTCTCTCTCTCTCTCTCTCTCTCTCTCTCTCTCTCTCTCTCTCAAATTGATGTTTCTCTCTTTCTCCCCCTCCTCTTCTTCTTTTTGACTCACCAGCATCCTAAATCACCTGCCTCCTTCTCCCTTGCATGTCTACTGCCTAAATCATTAAGTTCTCAGGACAATGAGGTTCTGATCAGCATGAAATAATCTTAGGAACAAAGCCTCAGGTCTGTGCACCCCAGAGACAGAGTTTCCTTCAAACTAGAGATAACATCGAGGCCTCAGTTGTGTTTCACCTCCAGGCCCAGAAAAGCAGCAAAACCAGATGAAGCAACGTCATGGCTGACATCAGGACCAGATGCACTGATCAACGACCGCCTCCCCTGCACCAATCAGTTAGTAGACACCAGGACCCCCAACTCCGTTAGTCACCGTGACTAATGATTTCCCCCTATACAACCATCCCCTGGAAGCCACTAGAGAGCCAGCCAGGTCTTTGAACATTAGCTCATCTGTGTCTCCAGGTGAGGGCCACTTCCTGAAAATAAACCCTTACTTCTTTGCTGTAAACCAGTGGTTACCAACCTTTTTTTTGGCCATGCCCCACCTAAGCATCTCTAAAATCCCGATGCCCCCCTTTGACATATAATTCTTATTATCCAAAAAGTGAACTCCTATTCATGTGGAGGAAGCCTAAAAGGCCATTAACTTGGCCTAAACAAGCTTCCAAAGAACATGGCATCCATGAAAGAGAAAAATAACACAACGAAAGGACAGTTGAAGTACTGAGGAAGAAATCACTAAGAAATTGTTTAAAAATAATAATAATATGAAGGGATATGAAAAAATAGCAAAGAAAGTTTCAAAACATATACTAGGGAACTGAAATGCATAAATATGTCACAATATATATTTATATACTGTATATGAGGCCCCCTAGAACCATAAGAAATGTAAAAAAATCAGTTAATAACTCATTCTCGAATTGCCCCCCTTAAAAATCAAATTGCCCTCCTGTGAGGCATGTGCCCCATGCTGGGAACCACTGCTGGAAACTCTTGTTCGTGTCTCGTTGGGCTTTGATGCATGCAGGCAAGTAGACCCCTTTAATGCGGTAACATAACCAGCCTTTTCAAGATCCCCCCGGCGATGGGGCTCTGAGGTACAACAGGGACTTTCCCAATCCTTCCTCTTAATCGGCTTGGAGAGATTTCTCTGCAAATTGGCACTGGTGCTGCACTTGTTGCTCAACCCACTGTCATAAAACGCCCTGCCTTGAAGCACTAAAACGGTTCAAATAGTGGAGATTTCAAATAAACTCAACAGGCTCATATCTCCGAACCTATTCCTTTTGTTTCTGTCCGGTAAGAGGCTCTCATTGTTGATCCTTTTGTAGTCCGTAAGCGTGATGATTGGGTGGTTCACGCTCTTGTGTGAGATGTGCCTCCCACAAACCTCTGACAACTTACAGTAAGCCCCACGCTGACTCACTCTGTCTGTGATTTTTTACTTCCTGGTGAGTTCATACAGCCTAGTGTGGCCCACTTTTTCCCTGTAACGTTTCTAAAAAGACAAAGCAGCCCCACCTAGGCTCTCTCCGGTTGCTTCTTCTATCCTCAGCCCTTCCTTCGTTTCACTGTCCCCAGCTGCAATCAATGTACTCCCCAAATCAGCTGGACTCAATTTGTGAAATCTTCCCTGCACTAAGTCAAGAACCCACACACTACCAGCGCCGGAGGCCTGCTCCCCGTTTGGTAGCATGATTATTCTGTGCACTAGTCCTTGTAACATTCCTATCTGACCTGTGAGAAAGCCAAAGGGATGAGGGTCGACATTTGTCCAGGACCTCTGAGCAATAAACCACATTGTTATCCCTTGACACCCTGTTGTTCTTGACCCTCATCTGCTGCTAGCGTCTATCCCAACTGGAACCAAATTCTTCACAATTGATGTGCGTAGTGCATTCTTTACTATGCCAGCTGATGAAGGTGGCCAATACCTTCCTGCCTTCACTTGGGAAGGAAAACACTCCACCTGGACAGTCTTGCCTCGGGGTTTTCCTGATAGCCCTTCTTATTGTCATAAATTCTGAAGACTGATTTAAATTATATCATTTTCCCTAAAGGTTTCATCTTATTGCAATTTGTGAATGATTTACTTGTTTGCTCCTCTTCTCAGGTCTCCTCACAGGAAGATAGCATCCATCTGTTAGAACTTCTGGCCTAAAGGAACATAAGGTCTCTAAGAAAAAATTACAATTCATCCCAATTCAGGTTCAATATTTGAGACATCTGGCTCTCCTGGAAGCCATTGGAGAGCCAGATCTTTGAACAATAGCTCATCTGTGTCTCCAGGTGAGGGCCATTTCCTGAAAATAAACCCTTACTTTCTTTGCTGTAAACCAGTGATTCCCAACCTTTTTTTTGGCCATGCCCCATCTAAACATCTCTAAAGTGGGGCATGGCCCACCTTTAACAGGTGCAGAACATAATAACAAGAAGAATTCAAAAGAGAATTAGGGCAACATAACAACCAAGTCTACATGAATTTAAACTAGGAGCTCAAACTTGCAGATAATGAAACAAAGACCATTATTATCTTGGATTGATCAGAGTTCTTTTTTTTTTTTTAAATTGATTTTCAGAGAGAAAGGAAGGGAACATCAATCTCTAGAAACATCAATCTGGAAGGAAAACACTGACCACCATTTATTACGTTCACTCCTACAGAAGGCACCGGACCCTGACGGGAACGTCCCTCAGTCTGATGACCTGAAACTGCAGCTGTCAAATGCACTACATACACCAAGTTTCCCAAGGCCCCAAATTAAGTGTCAATTGCAAGGTTTTCTTGGGCTAGTAAGCTGTTGCTGAAATCAGATCCCACATCTCTCTCTCATGACAAAACCTCTAAATGTCTTACCAAAGAACGACAATCCTGATCCAATTTTATGGGAGAAACAAGGTGACATAGCCTTTAAAGGCTTAAAGGAGAGTTTAATAAGCCCCCCTGCTCTTGGGCATCCTAACTATCAGATTCCCTTTTTCATTTTTTTTTTAAAATCCTCATCCCAGGATATATTTTTATTGATTTTTAGGGAAAGGGAAAGAAAGGGGCGGGGGGAGAGAGAGAGAGAGAGAGAAACATCAATTAGTGGCCTCCTGTACGTGCACCGATTGGGGAATCGAACCTACAACCCAAGTATGTGCCCTGACCAGGAATCGAACCCATAACCTTTTTTGGTGCATGGGACCATGCTCCAACCAACTAAGCTACCCAGCCAGGGCCCCTTACCATTTTTGTGGATGAGAAGGATGGGGATACCCTTGGGTTACTCACTCAAAAACATGGGGGTCACCACAGACCCCGAGGATACTGTATAGTCAGCAGTGACTATAGTATGGCCCCAGTGGCTCAGGGAAACCGTATTATTAAGATTCTACGGCATTCTAGACTTGATGTTCTGGAAGCTAAATGAAACCACCTGCTGACATTTCTGCTAAGAATGCTGCCCTTACTTTCTTTCTTTTTTTTTTAAATTTAATCTGGATACAGGTACTTTATTTACAAATATTCAGATTAATAGCATTTTGTTACATCAAATGAAGAGTACAGCAGTCTGAATAAATCCTGTCACAAAACAGTAAGACCCACTGCAACTAACTTTGGAAATCAGGGTATTGCACCTAAACAAGCCACGGTCTTTAGTTTGTGATTGCTACCTTCTATCCCAATGGGTGGTTTGTTTTGTCTTTGTAAATATATACACACACCGGAGGTCATGGTCCCTGGGTGAGTCCCTTGTGATGCAACAGTGTGAGCAAAATGGATCACTGTAAGTCTTTAACAGAATATACCAATCTACTCCAGGAATCCTTTTTAAAAAGTTTAAGACAAATAAAAATGAGTCCCCAAATTAACCAAATCCTATTTTCTGCACATTCCAGTTTTGGCTTTTATTTAACGGTGACTATACAATACTCTGGTACTACCATGTTTACAACCCAGAAAGTTGTATTTTTTTTACTTTAGTGTCTGTAAAGATTTAAAATGTGTATTTTAAACACAGCAGTTGAGCTGAGGGTATGGTCCAAAGAGATGATTCCCCAGTTGAAAACTTAGAAAAACTGGCCAGAGAATCCCAACAACTGGTTTCAAAAAAAGTAAAACAAGATTGGCAACCCAACAATTTGTGGTTTAATAGGGAGAGAAAGCTCTGGTTCAAGCCAAATAACAACCAAGTCCTACCAGGAACTCTAAAATGTCTGCTCCTAACTACTCTCCATGCATTAAACCACTGGTCCGCTGACAAAATGATAGCATTCATGAATAAATATTGGTGGGGAGATATTAACAAGGCCACAAAAAGTGCCCACCTTAAGTGTCAAACACAGCCCAGGGAAGCCTATTAAATTTGCCTACTGGATCTTTTGTGGTTTGGCAAATAGATTTCATACAGCTTTCCCATCTCATGAATATAAATGAGTTTTAGTCTTGAAACATATGTTTTCTCACTGGACTTTCAGCCTGACGGATGAAAGTAGTAGCTCGTGCATATCTCTGAAGGTCACGAAATATAAACCTGATGTAAAATCTCTGTCATCCGTGATGCAGCAGCAAAAGTCCCACTGATAATATCAAACGGAGTCATAAAGTTTTCTGTCAAACTATCAGTGTACATGTATGCATTAAAAAATAAATCTATTTTTCATCATCATATACGGTGTTTTTGTCGCTCAAATGAATTTTATTATTTCTTCAAGGTTCTTCACATACATACACCTTAAGAGATATCAAGTAGGCGTAACATGTTCTCAAAAAATTAAGGTTGGCACGCAGAAGAATTTTGAGTCAGAGATTTTGCTGGTTTTGGCACGCACTCACAAAAAGGTTGCCTACCCTTACCTTAGCCAAAAGCATTGCTGCTAGTCATTTTAAATCTTGGGTCCACCCTTTTTGGGACTCATAAGCTTTCTCCTTTCAAGATAATTACAGGACATGCCATGCCTTTGGCTGCTGCTTCTTTGGATCCACAGTTGGTAAAGGAAGTATATTTCAATATAAAGGAAACCTATTCCAATATAAAGGAAACGTATTTCAATATTGTAAAGGCTTAATTGCTTCTATTGAAAATAATCATTTCCTTGGAGGACAATCTTTTCACAGTCCCTCCTAGGGAATGAACAACTCAAAATCCACACTCTACAACCTGGAGACTTATTATTATTTCTTTTTTTTTACTGAAAAAGACATCTCATAAAAGATTCCCTCCAGCCTTGCTGAAAGGGCTGTTAACTAAGTACTGTTAACTAAGCTGTCTGCTGCTAAACTCCAGGAAGTAGAGTAGGTATAGGAGTGACACCTACAGAAGGCACCAGACCCTGACGGGAACGTCCCTCAGTCTGATGACCAGAAACTGCAGCTGTCAAAAATTAACGCAGGTGACTTCTGAAGGAAACATATTACCAGAAGGACTGAATCTGGCCTAGACAATGCTTTTCTTATTATTAATTCTTACTAAATGTTTCTCTTATCTCTTTTCCTTGGAAGGAACATGTCCTTGTTCCCATTTCCTATGCTATTGTGGAAAGGAAGGGGGATTAAAGAAAAAAGACCCAGCGGCTTGGCTCAGTGGTTGATGGCTCAGTGGTTGATGGCTCAGTGGTTGAGCGTTGACCTATGAATCAGGAGGTTGTGGGCTCCATCCCCGGTGTGGGGTGTACAGGAGGCAGCCGTCCTTTATACCAAACGCTGGTGGGTTTGATTCCCAGTCGGACATGAATGGGAGGCAAGGAATCGATGTTTTTCTTCCAGATGGATGTTTCTCTCTCTCCCTTCCTTTCTCTCTAAAAATCAATTAAAAAGAAAAAGAACTTTGATCAACCTAAGATAATAATGGTGTGTGTTTCATTATCTGCACGTTTGAGCTCCTAGTTTAAATTCATGTAGACTCTGTTGTTATGCTGTCCTAATTCTCTTTTGAATTCTTCTTGTTATTACGCTCTGCACCTGTTGCCTGTTACCCCTGGACTGAATCCACGCACATTCTAAGGTCCTAAAATTAAGTACCATAATGATTATTATAACACAGGGTATCATCTAAAGCAGCGGTTCTCAACCTGTGGGTCGCGACCCCTTTGGGGTTCGAATGACCCTTTCACAGGGGTCGCCTAAGACCATCGGAAAACACATATAATTACATATTGTTTTTGTGAGTAATCACTATGCTTTAATTATATTCAATTTGTAACAATAAAAACACATCCTGCATATCAGATATTTAAATACATTACAATTCGTAACAGTAGCAAAATGACAGTTATGAAGTAGCAACGAAAATAATTTTATGGTTGGGGGTCACCACAACATGAGGAACTGTACTAAAGGGTGGCGGCATTAGGAAGGTTGAGAACCACCTATCTAAAGAGATAGTCATAAGAGTCAAGAGCTAATTGCACTGGTCCCCCCGCGTCTGCTTTACCCACAATAAAGGCTGTGCTGGTGCTACACGGAGCAGAAGTCTGCATGGAGGCACGGACCTCTAACCGGGACTCCCCGCGAGCTTCCCAGCATAACAAGCGATCCTTCCCCAGGAGCTTCACAACATAAAAGCGCAACAGGCCAAGCCTGAGAGGGAGCAGGAAAGGAGCCTGGGGTGCCAGAGGCCTCGGGCTCCACTCCCCACACCATCTCCTTCAAATTTTTTACTTGGTCGACACAGGTTGCGCCCACATGAACCGGGAAACACAAGTTACTTTGTGATTATAGATATCGCTTCTCTGAATTTTGGATTCCTTTTTAAAATAAAAATTAAACTTTCGCGATAGCTGTGATACACGGTTTGGCGTTAGTGTTTCTATTTTTAACAGCAGGAATGTAGGCACGTGCCCTGGGGCGGAGTTTTTCCGCCGCGCTTGCACCTCTGGCTTTGCGCCCTCACCGCGCCGCGCGGGGACTGGAAGCAAGTGGAGAGTCGGGATTTAAAATGCGGTCAAGTGCGAAGAAAAGCGGCATTTGGTCGGCTGTCGGCCCACAGACCGGCCACAGCCAAGTCTTAGAAGCTGAACAAGAATGAAAAAGGGAAAGGAAGCTCCGGGAGTTTCCTTGTGGATTTGCCCCCGAAATGACTGGTCCTTCCGGGCGACGGGGAGCAGCGCGGGTCCCCGTCTCCGCTTTCGCGGGGCCGACACCCCCCGCCCCACTTCTCCAGAATGTGCTCAGGTTGGTCCGGCCGGCACAGGCCCGGGCGTGCCCCTCAAAAACCCCGTTTGGTCTCCATGCCCCCCGCCCCCCACCCGCCCTCCAGGAGGGGCGGCGGGCACTCACCAGCACCAGGAAAAGGATCAGGGTGCGGGGGGCCCAGGGCCGGGGCCCGGCTCCCCCCTGTGCCTTCAGGGCAGCTGCGCGCCCCACCGCGCGGCGGGAGGCCATCTCGCTCGGACTCCCCGCGGCCACGTGCGGTCGTGAGCGCTCCTGGTCCCCGCGGCAGAGGCTTCGCGGGTTTTCCGTGTATTTCAGGGGAGGGGGCGACTCCCTCAGCCTGCCGGGTGCGGGGTGCTCTGCTTGCAAAAGGCTCCCCGGACTGAGCTCAAGATGGGGGAGACTGAGGAGAAGGCAATGAATGACTCACTTCCTAGACCTAGACTGACTTACATGTCGCGGGGCGGGGCGGGGGGGGGGGGGGGGGGGGACCGGGGTGAAGTCCACTCCCTCCTCCTTCCTGATCCTGGGCGGGTAACCAAGGTATCGCCTTTCAACAAGAATCCAGGATCCCAGGACTAATGCCCCCATCTTCCCACTTTGGCCTTCTGCCCACTCCCAGCTTCTACTCCTGTCTTCCCCCGGCTCATGGACGGGTACTGGGCTCATGGACCGGTACTCCTAGGAAGGTAACCCCGATTTTGCAAAACTATGTTTGGAATTCTCTGCAATTTTTTAGATGGCCTCTTATTCTAAAAAAAATAATAATTTTATGGCCTAACTAGTTTGGCTCAGTGTATAGAGAGTTGTTCTGAGGACTGAAGGGTCCCAGGTTCCATTCCCATAAGCGCACGTACCTTGGTTGCAGGCACAGCCCGGTAAGGGGGTGGGGGGTGCAGGAGGCAGCTGATCCATGTTTCTAACTCTCTATCCCTCTCCCTTCCTCTCAGTAAAAAAAAAAAAAATCAATAAAATATGTTAAAAAATAAGAATAAAATAGTAACTTTGCTTTCTAGCCTGCTTTAGCCTGCTTGAATGATGAGGGAGATGAACTTAGCTGTCTGATCTTGTCGGCCAGAGACTAGACACGCCTGTACTCTCAATGCCATGCCAGGTGCATTTTTTAATTGGACAGAACCGTGTTGTTCTCAAGGCTACTGGCGAAATAACCACTAAGCACACGTAGGGCTGGCTCTTTAGTAAAAAAGGGAAGTTCTGCTTGTAGTGTGGCCCTGAATTTGAAAGGCATTTTTCTCTGTGCCCCCGTGCGTAATAATAAAGTGTGACTCCAAACTCTCCGAGCATTGCTTGATGTATTCCGGTTCTCTGTAACACTCGGGCATCACCCACCCAGAGTCACTTTGCAGCTCAGTAAGGCAGGAGGTTTCTGGGTCAGGGGCTTGATCTTAGCATCTCAGTAGCCAGGTGCCTGGCTCAGAGCAAAACCCCAGTGAACAAGGGTGGATAGAATGAAGGACACAGAGGTCAGGACCAGTGGGTCTGATTTCAGGTCACCAGGAGGCTTCCACACCTCCCCCATCACAACCTCACCTGTCCTGGTAACTCCAGGTCCATCCTGTGGCTTGTGGTCTCAGGTTCTCATGCTCTCTCATCTCAGCCCTACTGTTCCCTCCTGCTGCCGGGCAAGTTGGAGGAACCCACTGCAGACTCTCTTCTGGATTTTCTTTTCCTCTTAGATTCTTTTTTTTTTTTAAATCTTTATTGTTGAAAGTATTACATATTTCCCTCGCCTGCCCTCCTTCCAGGCCCTCACCACCCTATTGTTAGTGTCTTTTTTGATCCCTTCCCACCTTCCCCTGCAGTCTGTTTGATGCTTCTATGTCTCTGGGTCTATTTTGTCCATCAGTTTAGTTTGTTCATTAGATTCCACATACACTGAGTGACCAGGTTATTATGATCACCTGACATTTGTAGGCAAATTAGCCGCACACTTCATCATATGGGATATGGAAGCTGAAGGTCTGTCTCTTCGAACACCTTTGCTGTCTGCAGTTACCAAGATAAAACGTCTCCAATTCCCACAGGAACAGAAGGATTGGACAGTCCAGCATTGGAAAAAAGGCATGTGGTCCAATGAATCACGTTTCCAGTTGCATCGGCAGAAACAGCATGAAAGCATGCACCTCACACGCATGAGTACAACCCTTCAAGCTGGTGGGGGCAGTGTTATGGTTTGGGGCATGTTTTCCTGGCATGATTTGGGCCCTTTAATTCGTGTGGAACAACGTCTAAATAGCACAAGATACCTAAGTATCATTACTGATCAAGTTCATCCTATCATGTTGATGGCGTATCCCAATGGAGATGGCTTCTTCCAATGGGCCATGCCACGGTGCTCGTATTGTGCAGGAGTGGTTTCAAGAACATGAGGGAGACTTTACCTTGCTTAGGTAAAGTCACAGATCTCAATCCAATTGAGCATTTGTGGAACGAAGATAAAAGAGCTATCAGTCAGCTGGTTCCACAACCATCAAATCTCACAGAACTGGACAGTGCTATTCAACAGGCATGGTGTCAGATTCCTCCCATCACCTTTCAATATTTCGTGGAGTCAATACCAAGAAGAATCACTGCAGTATTGAAGGCAAAAGGTGGCCCAACAAAGTACTGATGGGGTATTCTTAATAATCTGGCCACTCAGTGTATGACTTAGATCATGTGATACTTGTCTTTCTCTTAATTGCTTATTTCAGTTAGCATAATGCTCTCTAGATCCCTCCCAGGCTGGCTCAAAGGGCAAGAGATCCTTCTTTTTTACTGCTGCTTAGTATCCCATGGTGTAGATGTACCACAGCTTTTTTATCCACTCATCTACTGATGGGCACGTGGGCTGTTTCCAGATTTTAGCTATTATAAATTGTGCTGCTATGAACATAGGGGTGCAAACATTCTTTCTGATGGTGTTTCAGTGTTTCTTAGGATATATTCCTAGAAGCAAAATCACTGGGTCAAATGGCAGTTCCATATTTAATTTTTTGAGGAAACCATACTGTTTTCCATAATGGCTGCACCAGTCTGCATTCCTGCCAGCAGTGTACTAGGGTTCCATTTTCTCCACATCCTCACCAGCACCTGTCATTTGTTGATTTGTTGATAGTTGCCATTCTGACAGGTGTGAGGTAATACCTAATTGTCATTTTAATTTGCATCTCTCTGGTGATCAATGACTTTGAGCATTTTTTCATATGTCTCTTGGCTACCTGTATTCCACTTTGGAGAAGTGTCTATTTAGGTCCTTTGCCCATTTTTTTTTGTTTGTTTGTTTTGTTAATCCTCACCTGAGGATATTTTACCATTGATTTTTAGGAAGAGTGGAAGAGAGAGGGAGAGACAGAAACATCAATGTCAGAGAGACACATTGATTGGTTGCCTCCAGCTGGAGCCTTGACCAGGGCCCAGGCCAGGGAGGAGCCTGCAACCGAGGTATGTGCCCTTGACCAGAAGCAAACCTGGGACCCTTCAGTCTATAGGCCGATGCTCTATCCATTGACCCAAACCGGCTTGGGCAGTTTACCATTTTTTTAATTGGATTGTTTGTCTTCCTTTTGTTAAGTTGTATGAGTTCCTTATATGTTTTGGACATTAACCGTTTATCAGATGTATCATTGCAAAATATGTTCTCCCATGCTGTGGGCTCCCTTTTTGTTTTGTTGATGGTTTCTTTTGCTGTGCAGAAGCTTTTTATTTTGATGTAGTCCCATTTGTTTATTTTCTCCTTAGTGTCCTTTGCCACAGGAGATATATCCATAAACAAATTGCTATGAGAGATGGCTGAGATTTTGCTGCCTATGGTTTCTTCTAGGAATTTTATGGTTTCACGATTTACACTTAAGTCTTTTATCCATTTTGAGTTTATTCTTGTGTATGGTGTAAGTTGGTGGTCTACTTTCATTCTTTTGCATGTACCTGTCAAATTTTCCCCAACACCATTTATTGGAGAGACTGTCTTGACTCATTGTATGCTCCTGCCACCTTTGTCAAATATTAATTGAGCGTAATGGCTTGCGTTGATTTCTGTGTCCTCCATTCTGTTCCATTCATCCATATGCCTGTTCTTATGCCAGTACCAGGCTGTTTTGATTACAGTGGCTTTGTAGCATAACTTGATATCTGGTGTTGTGATTCCTTCAACTTTGTTCTTCTTTCTCAAAATTGCTGGGGATATTCAGGGTCTTTTTTTTAGTTTTAGGTCCATATAAATTTTTAAAATATTTATTCTAGATCTGTGAAATATGCTGTTTGTATTTTTTTTTTATATTTTACTGATTTTTTACAGAGAAGAAAGGAGAGGGATAGAGAGTCAGAAACATCGATGAGAGAGAAATATCAACCAGCTGCCTCCTGCACACCCCCGACTGGGGATGTGCCCGCAACCAAGGTACATGCCCTTGACCGGAATCGAACCTGGGACCTTTCAGTCTGCAGGCCGACGCTCTATCCACTGAGCCAAACCGGTTACGGCTGCTGTTTGTATTTTAATAGGGGTTGCATTGAATCTAGAGATTGCTTTGGGTAATATGGATATTTTAATGATGTTGATTCTACCAAAATCCTTGAACACAGTATATTTTTCCCCTTGTTTATATCTTCCTCTATCTCTTTTTTCCAACATCCTGTAGTTTTCTGAGTACAAGTCTTTTACCTCCTTAGTTAACTTTATTCCTAAGTATCTTAATTTTTTGTTGCAATGGTAAATGAGATTGTTTAGTTTCTCTTTCTGAGAATTCAATATTGGTGCACAAAAAAGCCATCGATTTATGGGTGTTGATTTTTGTATCCTGCTATATTCCTGAATTAATTTATTAAATCTAGTAGTTTTTGGTGGCATCTTTAGTGTTTTCTAGGTACAATATCATGTTGTTTGTGACAAGTGTGAGGTGATACCTAATTGTCGTTTTAATTTGCATCTCTCAGGTGCAGAGTGGTGCAGCCAATGTGGATGCCTTTTATTTCTTCTTGCCTGATCGCTGTGGCTAGGATTTCCAGTACTATCAGTATATATAAAAGGCGAAAAAGCTAAGTGTCTGTCCATCCGACCAGTAGCTATGACACACACTGACCACCGGGGGGCAGGAGCTGCCTTGATGTGCACTGGCTATTTTAAAATAAACGGCACCATGGACAAACCAACACCTGGCTGACAAACCAACACTCGACTTCCCCCAAGTGGGCCATAGGCCCTGCCACCACCCCGGAGCGACACTCTACCAGATTGAAGCCAATGCTGCCAAGATCCCATGGCACAAAATACAGCTCACAGCCCAGCCCAGCCCGGAAACGGAGGCTGTGGGCACTGGGTAATAACATCACGTAGCAACGCCCAGCTTCCTCTCCCTAGCAACTAGCCTCTTTAGAGTTTCTTCAGCCCAGGAACATGACCTGCTTTAGAGCCAGGTGCAACATTTTACA